AAATTTATAAATTATTTTCATGTCATTGTCTGTATTATTATCCTTTTAATTTATTTTTGTGCTATTTAGAAGGGAAAAAATTCAAATAAAATGCATCCATTTGAAATTGTGATTTTTTCTTTTCTATCAATTATAATTCTGTTTTTTTTTTTTTTTTAATTTCCTAAATTTTCGTTTTTTTTAGCAAGTTAAACTTCAACCATCGGAAGGATTACATTTGGAAATAGCATCAGTGATCCTAAGAAAAGCAGAAAAAGGTTAATTTTTCATTTCATCCTTCTTTGCTTATTCTTGAATGCCTTATAACATTAATCAATTTTATCAAATATGCATATCAATTTGTGATTCATATTTATGGTACCAATCTAATTTATGATTCACATCTTGGTACCAACCGTATCAGCCTATGATTCATAGTTGTGGTACCAGTCGTATCAGCTTGTTTTTCTTGTAGCACTAACCGTATCAAACAGTATACCAGCCGTGTCAATTCATGACCCATATTTGCGGCAGCAAACGTATCAATCTATGACTCATATTTATTGTACCAAGTGTATCCATTTATGGCTCATATTTGTGGTACCAAGTGTATCCATTTATGGCTCATATTTGTGGTACTAATCATATCACTTTTTATTTATCTCATCCAATATCATAATTAATTTATAGATTTATCAAATAAATTAGGCAGAATTCAAAATTGGATTATTCTAAGTATCGGCGTCTCATTATTTCTTATTGCCACATTTCTTGTTTGTTGCATTGTTAGTCGTTCACGAAAGGTGCGATCGGATAATTTTGTAAGTTAATTACACTTTTTTTTTTCTTTTTTAATACCAATCTCTGATAAGAAATATTTAATGTGCATATTTTTCTAAATCTATAATTAATATTAAATAAATTGGTAATACTACTACTACTATATGCTATAAAATAATTGTAATTAACAATTTTAACAATTTAACTTAAAAAAAAATCGATTTATTAATTGATTATTATCAATAAACTTTACATTGATATAACAATATTTATTTGTATATGATAACATATTTCTTATCTTTTTTCAATCATTTAATCAGTTCTTAAATTATATCATTTTTTTTTTCTTTTTTATTCTTCATTTTATCTTTTCTTTTTTTTTTTTTTCAGAATAATTACAATGTACATTATCCAATGAATGGTTATGGCTGCAATAATACTCGTATGTTATTTTAATGAAGCAATCTATTGTATTGATAAATTAAAATATATTATTTTTTTCATTCATTTATCTAAATAAGTATAAATTAAATATAAAATGAAAATTATTTTCTTATTAAAAAAAAAAAAACAAATTTTTTATTTTTGTTGTATATATTTAGTTGCTGTTTCACCGATGAATAGCAAAAAAAGTGGTTTCGAGAATGCAGCATATCATGCGACACATAGTAGACAATTTTCACAAGCAACAACAGCTTCACAAAATGGTACCACTAGCAAAAGTTCACCAAATACATTGGAAGAAATTCCAAAAGGTGTTGGTGAAACTACCTATCAAGAGTGGTTCTCGAAGGTTAATACTTTATTTTACTTTTATCTTTTTTTTTTTCTACATATGAATAGTAAATATTTAAGAGAAAAAAGATCTTTTTTTTTTTGTTTTCAAAAACTACTATCAACAATAATTCTCTAAAAGTAAAATTTTATTTTACGTTTATCTTTTTTTTTTTGTACTTATAAATAGTGAATATTTAAATGATTCTCTAAAGTAAATATTTTATTTTACTTTTGTCTTTTTTTTTTGTACTTATAAATATCAAATATTTGAGAGAGTGTGTTTCTTTTTTCTTTTCAAAAAAACTACTATTAAGAATGATTCTCTAAGTTAAATATTTTATTCTTTCCAAAAAAAAAAGAAAGTTTTTTTTCTTTCTCAAATTTAAATAATTTGAGCAATAATTTTTTTTTTTTTAATTCATGATTAAATAATGATCTTATACACTCATAAATAGTAATATTAAATGTAAAAATTGTCTTCTATAACTTTTTTTTTTTAAATAAGAGAATTATTTTTAAATTATTTTTTTTTTAAATAAAAGAATTATTTTTAAATTATTTTTTTTTTAAATAAAAGAATTATTTTTAAATTAATTTTACATTTTATATTTACAAAATTATTATTTTTACAATTTTTATTTTGATTTTTATAATTAAATTAATTTCACTCATTTTATTTAGGTTGCTTCAAAACCTGGTGCACAACAACATGAAGAAATATCATCACCGTCTGTACGGCATCCAATTTCTCGTCGTTCATTTAGTGGACCATCTTATATGTCACATACTCAGGATGCTAATAATTTTTATGGTGAAATTAGATTAGGACCACCTGGATATTATCGTCCTTATTAAAAATTGAAAATAAAAAATTAAGAAAAAAAGTGAAAAAAAAATTTGTTTAAAAAATGAAAAAAGACAATAAAAGATTTCATTAATGTTTATCTAACTATTTTATTTTTTTGTTATCATTTAGGATGCTGAAATTTTTTTTCTTTCGAAAATTTGAAAAAATTAATTATGTTTGGATAATTTTTATAGCTATTAAAATATTGAAATATCAGATCAATTTGAAAAAAAGAAAGAAAAAAAGATTTAAAATTCAAATTTGTTAATCCTAAATTTATATGATAAGATCAGCAGTGTATAATGATGATCTTATTAGTTTATTGATGTGATAATGAAGTAAATTTATTGTTGCTCAAAATGACTTATACAAAAACTTGAAATTTTTCAATTCTAAACTTTTCATTTTCAGCAACACTGAATTTTTATATTTTAATTTTGAATATTTAGAATGCATACCAAACATATTTTTTAATTCGTGCATTTATTGTGTGTATAATTACTATAATTTATTAAAATTTCACACTTTATTTGTGTGTTTTTTCTCTTTGCTATTAAATTTATATTTTTAATTTTAATATTTTAAATTATAATTGTTGTATTTGATCTAATTGACAAGCAGTTTCTTCTCAAGATTTTTGATCGATTTCTATCAAATTAAAATGATTTACTATTGAAAAGATCTAATTAGAGTTGATAAGAAAAAGAGAATTGAGAAATATCAAAATTTTGATGAAATTATATTAACAATTCTAATTTTAATCAATACAAATTAATATACCTTTATATAAATGCAAAAAATTAAAAAAACTAAATTGGTTTGTTTTAAATAAAATGATTCTTAAAAAAAGATCATTTAATTATTATTTTCTTTATTCACAAAATTTTGAAATTGATATTTTCAAAAAGAAAAAAGTTGTCTGTTTTTAATTTTAATTAATTATAAATTTTGTTCATTGTTGTAGATTAATTGATAACTTTTCCTTTTTTTTTCCTTTTTTTATGTTCGATTTTATTATCATTCCAAAATGTAGAATTAATAAAATTTTATTATGCATTCCAACAATTAATGGATTGCTTTTATTTTAATTGTTTTCTTTTTTTAAAAAAAAAAATCTGTCATTTTGTGTTTATTTAAAAACTTTTCATTCTTTTTTTTTGGAAAAAAGTTTTTGAAATGATAAATAAAAAGCGAAAGTCAATAATTAAAGCATAAATTTTCATTCCTCTCATTTATTTTTGTCTTCTTGTCAAAAATTTTTTTAGCCATAAAAATTCTTCAAAACTAAGTCTTTTGTTTTTTCTTTTTTCAGCCATAATTTTTTTTTTTTTGAAAAAATATTTTGTTGAATTTGAATACTTTTTTTAAACAATGTTTTTCGTATTTTTATTCTGCATGAATTGATAATATTTGCTAAAAATTAAATTGGTTTTTTCCATGAATGCTATGCATTTTATTATTTTAAAATTATTATCCCAAATTAATTCTATTTTTATTGTTATTAAATATATGCAAACTGTTTAACAAATAAGAATGTTATTAATTATTTTATACTTTTTCATTACATTTCCTTTTTTTATACCGTTTAGAAATGATTATATGTAAATTAATTTAGTGGGCAATATTTAATCTTTTTTAAATAATAATTATTTTAAATCAAATTATTTCACAATCATTGTAATTTTTATTATTTTCAATTAAACTCATTGCAAAAATGAAAAATTGAAGATAAGAAAATGAAAAAAAAATTTGTAAATTTATAATTTCTTGAAATTTTCAATAAAGTGAAATTTTAAAATATATCTTTCTTTTCAATCAATCTTTCAAAAAAAAAAAACTAAAATTATTTTTTGAGCTTAGCTTGCAAAAATTACTGTGAAAAGTTTTATGTTTTATGTATGATTGTATGATTACCTTTTTTTTTTTCTTTCGCTTTTTTTGTAATTTATATTTATTGTTGAATAATAAAAGAAAAAGATTACTGCGCCAATTAATGACACAATTTTTTTTTTTTTAGTTTTAATAAAAATAGAAATAAGAAGTGGTCGACTTTTTAATAAAATTTTTTTTAATAATTTAATAAAAGTTTTCATCAAAAGGAAAACAGAAAAAAGCTCGTTTTTTCATAAAATCGAATTTATCAGATTAATGGGATGAGTAAAACTAATACTTCATTAGAAAAATATAAGTGAGAACAAGATAATTTGTAATATAATTAAAGTAATTAAACAGTTTATAATCTAATTAAAACAATTAATTCAGCAACACATATCAATAATAATTGTATTTTTTTCTTGAAATTAATAACTCGTACTGTTTATTATCGAAGAAAAATAAAATTCATAAAATTTTTTTTAATAAAAAAAAAACTTAAATTATCTATTGTATTATTGTTTAAAAAAGATGCTTATTTAATAAATTGAAAAAAAAAAGGAAAAATAAATCTGATAAATTATGCATAACTTTTTTTTTTTCTGCATATTTGTAAAATTTATAATTTTGAAATAATTGAAATTATAAAAGTGTTATGAATTGAATGCTTTTATCAGTGTGTTTTTTTCGTTTTCCTTCCTTTTCTTTTTTTTGCTAAATTTGAATTTTATGTAAAATTTAGCAAATGCATCAATTTGAGAAGCCAAAACGACTTCAACAGATCATTTTACCACCTTATATCAATCGTGGACAGCAAAGAATTATTCGTGAAAAACAAAAAAATATTTCATCAGTACCATTTTTAGATGTGGAACTTTGTTATTGGTATAAAGTTGGATGTAAAGTTAATATTTTTTAATTTTTTTTTTTTTATCTCTTTTTGAAACAATTTTCTTTTGGTATTTTTTTCTGAATTCCAATTTGTAAATTTTTGCAAAAAAAAAAAAAAAAAAAAAAAACAAGAAAAGTTTGTTAATTTTTAAATGATAAAGAAACTAATAACAATTTTATTTTTCAATTAATTTTTTAATTAAAATATTTTCGAAATCTTTGGTTAAATATAAAATTTTTTTTTATAGTATTTTTATAATTTAAAAAGATCGTTTTTTTTTCTATAATTAATTTATTATACGCTAGGTATAGTAAATATTATTGATAAATTGGGTTTGAAATTTAATTTTAGAAAAATCTTATCGATTTGACTTTTTAAATCAAAAATTAAGATTAAATCATAAGTTTAAAAAAAGACGAAAAATTATTTAGCTTATAACGGTTGATATTTCAGCAACGTGGTATACATAGTCGACCTTACACGTACGCTGTGATCACGTTAGAATCATTGCTAATTTTAATTGTTTTCTTACTTCTTGCAATAATCCTTCAATCAATAAATGCTTCACCTGATGCACCAATTAATGCATTCATTACGCAGCGTAATTATTTTTTACGAATACAAAATTCGGTTTGTTAATATTTTCTTTTTTCTTTTTATTATATATAAATTGTATTTCCTTTTTTTTTAGTGATAATATTCAAATTATCTTTTCTTTTCCATTAAAAAATTCAAATATTTTTATTTATTATTATTAAATTTAAAAAAATCGACTTTTATTAAATATTTCTTCTATTTTCAATAGTTAAAAATTGATCAAAGTAAGCTGATGTAATACGCTCATTTGGTACAACTAATTAGTGCTAATTATTACTAATTTAAAGCATTAAAAAAATTTCAAATATCCCCAAAAGTGATTTTATGTCGCAGTGATCTGTAAGACTTCTCATAGATCTTTGAAAATTTAATGCTTTTACTTTTTTTTTCTTCTTTTGTACACTCAATAGTTAACAAGATAGAATGCAAAATAAATAATTAAAATGGATGTATTTAAATTACTTTATATTAGCGTTTAAAACAGACACATAAATTTATGTGTAATATGAAGTAATCAAACTGATGAATGAATTTAAATTGATGAAATTTTAATACAGTTGGAAATAAATGTGAATAAATTAATGCGAACGATGTAATGTTCAGATATATAATGAATTTTTTTTTTTTTTTTTTTGTATTCTACAATGGATAATAATAATAACATTAATAATAAATGATAACAATAATAGTAGTAGCAATAATAATAACAAGCAATGCATAATAATAATAATGACAATAATAGAAATAACAACGGTACAAAAATAACAGTATTAATGATAAATAACAACAAAAATGATAATAATATGAATGACAATATTAATATTGACAATGATAGCAATAGCAATAATAGGGACAACATTTATATTAACAATGATAATAATATGAATGACAATATTAATATTGATAATGATAGCAGTAGCAATAATAGGGACAACATTTATATTAGCAATGATAATAATATGAATGACAATATTAATATTGATAATGATAGCAGTAGCAATAATAGGGACAACATTTATATTAACAATGATAATAATATGAATGACAATATTAATATTGATAATGATAGCAGTAGCAATAATAGGGACAACATTTATATTAGCAATGATAATAATATGAATGACAATATTAATATTGATAATGATAGCAGTAGCAATAATAGGGACAACATTTATATTAACAATGATAATAATATGAATGACAATATTAATATTGATAATGATAGCAGTAGCAATAATAGGGACAACATTTATATTAACAATGATAATAATATGAATGACAATATTAATATTGATAATGATAGCAGTAGCAATAATAGGGACAACATTTATATTAACAATGATAATAATATGAATGACAATATTAATATTGATAATGATAGCAGTAGCAATAATAGGGACAACATTTATATTAGCAATGATAATAATATGAATGACAATATTAATATTGATAATGATAGCAGTAGCAATAATAGGGACAACATTTATATTAACAATGATAATAATATGAATGACAATATTAATATTGATAATGATAGCAGTAGCAATAATAGGGACAACATTTATATTAACAATGATAATAATATGAATGACAATATTAATATTGATAATGATAGCAGTAGCAATAATAGGGACAACATTTATATTAACAATGATAATAATATGAATGACAATATTAATATTGATAATGATAGCAGTAGCAATAATAGGGACAACATTTATATTAGCAATGATAATAATATGAATGACAATATTAATATTGATAATGATAGCAGTAGCAATAATAGGGACAACATTTATATTAACAATGATAATAATATGAATGACAATATTAATATTGATAATGATAGCAGTAGCAATAATAGGGACAACATTTATATTAGAATGATAATAATATGAATGACAATATTAATATTGATAATGATAGCAGTAGCAATAATAGGGACAACATTTATATTAACAATGATAATAATATGAATGACAATATTAATATTGATAATGATAGCAGTAGCAATAATAGGGACAACATTTATATTAACAATGATAATAATATGAATGACAATATTAATATTGATAATGATAGCAGTAGCAATAATAGGGACAACATTTATATTAACAATGATAATAATATGAATGACAATATTAATATTGATAATGATAGCAGTAGCAATAATAGGGACAACATTTATATTAACAATGATAATAATATGAATGACAATATTAATATTGATAATGATAGCAGTAGCAATAATAGGGACAACATTTATATTAACAATGATAATAATATGAATGACAATATTAATATTGATAATGATAGCAGTAGCAATAATAGGGACAACATTTATATTAACAATGATAATAATATGAATGACAATATTAATATTGATAATGATAGCAGTAGCAATAATAGGGACAACATTTATATTAACAATGATAATAATATGAATGACAATATTAATATTGATAATGATAGCAGTAGCAATAATAGGGACAACATTTATATTAGCAATGATAATAATATGAATGACAATATTAATATTGATAATGATAGCAGTAGCAATAATAGGGACAACATTTATATTAACAATGATAATAATATGAATGACAATATTAATATTGATAATGATAGCAGTAGCAATAATAGGGACAACATTTATATTAACAATGATAATAATATGAATGACAATATTAATATTGATAATGATAGCAGTAGCAATAATAGGGACAACATTTATATTAGCAATGATAATAATATGAATGACAATATTAATATTGATAATGATAGCAGTAGCAATAATAGGGACAACATTTATATTAACAATGATAATAATATGAATGACAATATTAATATTGATAATGATAGCAGTAGCAATAATAGGGACAACATTTATATTAGCAATGATAATAATATGAATGACAATATTAATATTGATAATGATAGCAGTAGCAATAATAGGGACAACATTTATATTAACAATGATAATAATATGAATGACAATATTAATATTGATAATGATAGCAGTAGCAATAATAGGACAACATTTATATTAACAATGATAATAATATGAATGACAATATTAATATTGATAATGATAGCATAGCAATAATAGGGACAACATTTATATTAACAATGATAATAATATGAATGACAATATTAATATTGATAATGATAGCAGTAGCAATAATAGGGACAACATTTATATTAGCAATGATAATAATATGAATGACAATATTAATATTGATAATGATAGCAGTAGCAATAATAGGGACAACATTTATATTAACAATGATAATAATATGAATGACAATATTAATATTGATAATGATAGCAGTAGCAATAATAGGGACAACATTTATATTAACAATGATAATAATATGAATGACAATATTAATATTGATAATGATAGCAGTAGCAATAATAGGGACAACATTTATATTAACAATGATAATAATATGAATGACAATATTAATATTGATAATGATAGCAGTAGCAATAATAGGGACAACATTTATATTAGCAATGATAATAATATGAATGACAATATTAATATTGATAATGATAGCAGTAGCAATAATAGGGACAACATTTATATTAACAATGATAATAATATGAATGACAATATTAATATTGATAATGATAGCAGTAGCAATAATAGGGACAACAATGATAATAATATGAATGACAATATTAATATTGATAATGATAGCAGTAGCAATAATAGGGACAACATTTATATTAACAATGATAATAATATGAATGACAATATTAATATTGATAAATTAGCAATAATAGGGACAACATTTATATTACAATGATAATAATATGAATGACAATATTAATATTGATAATGATAGCAGTAGCAATAATAGGGACAACATTTATATTAACAATGATAATAATATGAATGACAATATTAATATTGATAATGATAGCAGTAGCAATAATAGGGACAACATTTATATTAACAATGATAATAATATGAATGACAATATTAATATTGATAATGATAGCAGTAGCAATAATAGGGACAACATTTATATTAACAATGATAATAATATGAATGACAATATTAATATTGATAATGATAGCAGTAGCAATAATAGGGACAACATTTATATTAACAATGATAATAATATGAATGACAATATTAATATTGATAATGATAGCAGTAGCAATAATAGGGACAACATTTATATTAACAATGATAATAATATGAATGACAATATTAATATTGATAATGATAGCAGTAGCAATAATAGGGACAACATTTATATTAGCAATGATAATAATATGAATGACAATATTAATATTGATAATGATAGCAGTAGCAATAATAGGGACAACATTTATATTAACAATGATAATAATATGAATGACAATATTAATATTGATAATGATAGCAGTAGCAATATAGGGACAACATTTATATTACAATGATAATAATATGAATGACAATATTAATATTGATAATGATAGCAGTAGCAATAATAGGGACAACATTTATATTAACAATGATAATAATATGAATGACAATATTAATATTGATAATGATAGCAGTAGCAATAATAGGGACAACATTTATATTAACAATGATAATAATATGAATGACAATATTAATATTGATAATGATAGCAGTAGCAATAATAGGGACAACATTTATATTAACAATGATAATAATATGAATGACAATATTAATATTGATAATGATAGCAGTAGCAATAATAGGGACAACATTTATATTACAATGATAATAATATGAATGACAATATTAATATTGATAATGATAGCAGTAGCAATAATAGGGACAACATTTATATTAACAATGATAATAATATGAATGACAATATTAATATTGATAATGATAGCAGTAGCAATAATAGGGACAACATTTATATTAACAATGATAATAATATGAATGACAATATTAATATTGATAATGATAGCAGTAGCAATAATAGGGACAACATTTATATTAACAATGATAATAATATGAATGACAATATTAATATTGATAATGATAGCAGTAGCAATAATAGGGACAACATTTATATTAGCAATGATAATAATATGAATGACAATATTAATATTGATAATGATAGCAGTAGCAATAATAGGGACAACATTTATATTAACAATGATAATAATATGAATGACAATATTAATATTGATAATGATAGCAGTAGCAACAATAGGGACAACATTTATATTAACAAATAATATGAATGACAATATTAATATTGATAATGATAGCAGTAGCAATAATAGGGACAACATTTATATTAACAATGATAATAATATGAATGACAATATTAATATTGATAATGATAGCAGTAGCAATAATAGGGACAACATTTATATTAACAATGATAATAATATGAATGACAATATTAATATTGATAATGATAGCAGTAGCAATAATAGGGACAACATTTATATTAACAATGATAATAATATGAATGACAATATTAATATTGATAATGATAGCAGTAGCAATAATAGGGACAACATTTATATTAGCAATGATAATAATATGAATGACAATATTAATATTGATAATGATAGCAGTAGCAATAATAGGGACAACATTTATATTAACAATGATAATAATATGAATGACAATATTAATATTGATAATGATAGCAGTAGCAATAATAGGGACAACATTTATATTAGCAATGATAATAATATGAATGACAATATTAATATTGATAATGATAGCAGTAGCAATAATAGGGACAACATTTATATTAACAATGATAATAATATGAATGACAATATTAATATTGATAATGATAGCAGTAGCAATAATAGGGACAACATTTATATTAACAATGATAATAATATGAATGACAATATTAATATTGATAATGATAGCAGTAGCAATAATAGGGACAACATTTATATTAACAATGATAATAATATGAATGACAATATTAATATTGACAATGATAGCAATAACAATAATAGGGACAACATTTATATTAACAATGGTAATAATATTAATAAAATAAAAATAATTGATAAATTTTCAGATTGCAACAAAACGACTAGTACGATCGATTGATGAGTATTTTTACAAACAATATCGATATCTTATAAATGGAACCATTCCAATTTCAACATCTTTAATAATGATTGCTATGGCAGCGATTATGATTTTAACTGGACCAGAAGAAAAGTACTAGTATTTATCAAATTTTTTAAATTAAAAAAAATTTAACAATCAAACAATTATAAACGAATAGTATTTCGATTTAAAATTTTATATTATTTTTTCAAAATTTTCATCAATCCTATGACAATATATATTTAACAGTAATTATTTCTTATCACATTTTTAAATGAAATAAGAATTTTTTCAATATATCATAAGTCAGAAGTACCAGTTTTTTTCCTATTTTTTAAAGGTATAAACGATATATTATGTGTTTTTTGCACTTAATAATACTTCTCATATCAATAATATTTATTTTTCCTTCTTTACTTCAAAGCCAATTTCAAGCTCGAATTGTAAGTTGTAATTGTAATAATAATAATAATAATAATAATAATAATAATAATAATAATAATAATAATAATAATAATAATAATAATAATAATAATAATAATAATAATAATAATAATAATAATAATAATAATAATAATAATAATAATAATAATAATAATAATAATAATAATAATAATAATAATAATAATAATAATAGTTTAATGAACAAAATAGAAATACATCAGAAGATCAACTGCCAGTAAACTAATTTTCCCATTTACATTTTTTATTTTCATTTTTTGCTCTTTCTCACTTTTTTTTCTGGCTAAATGGTTTTGTTTTATTTTACTTCAGTTTACGTCCAATAATTTTATAATGACGGATGATTTCTTAAATGCATGGATTGTAATAGCATCGTATGAAGCTGAAAAAATTGCACAAAATGGAATACAACTCATTTCATTACTTGAGGTATTAAAAAAGGAAAATTTTTTATTCATTTTATTATTTGAGATATAAGAAAAAATTTAGAAAAATTACGTTTTTTTCTTTTTTGCAGAATTTTTTTCTATTCGTTTTCATAAATAATTTTCGGCAATAATTTTTATTAAATAAATTTCACAAAACAAGCAAGAAATTTTGCTTTAGATTTGCAAAATTATACAAATAAGAGGTAATTGTTTTAAATTTAATTTTCTGAGAATTTTTTTTTTTTGCATTTTTCTTTTTTGAAATTCATGCGTGGCTCTTGTATAATCTTCATTTAATTATTTATTAATAATTGAAAAATATTGGACGTAAAAATAATGTCAAAAATTGAAATATTTTTAAATAAGAAATAAGTCACTCTGAATAAAAATGAAATTGAAATTTCCAATCTATTCTTTTTTTTAGCAAAATATTTATCTATAAAATACAATAAAAAATTTGGCAAAATGATTTTTGAAATTTTCAGAAAGATATTAAAAACTTTATCTGCATTTTTTTGATAAAAAAAAATTAAAAAAGTTTTGGAATTTTGGGAAAAATATAATTGTTGCGTGGTAAATCGTAATGCATTATTTTGGCAACAATTCCCAAAACATTTAATCCTACCATATATTTATTCTTTAAATTTTACCGAACGAAGCATCCAGCATTATATAAATGAAAAATGGTATTTGATTTTTTGTTTTATAATTATTCATTAATCTGAATCAAATTAAGATTATTAAATTTGACATAAAATGGAATGAATTAACTTGGTATAAGGTGAGGCATTTATAATTAGCGTATGAAATTTCAAAATGAAATTAAGAATTTTGACAGTTTCAAATAAGTCAAAAGAGAAACAGAAAAACACAAAGACAATAGGAGAAATTCTAATCAAATTAACTGACAACAATTTAAAATTAACAAATTGTTTATAGTAACACCTATATGCATATTCAGAAATATATTTCTACTAACCAATTGATTATCAGCAATAATTGCTATATCAATATTTAAATAATTCTTTATAAGATGGAATTACAATATTTTTTACTATTACTTTAATATTTCGATTGAATTTCAATAATTTCAAATAATTTTATTTCAGGGATCATTGTAGAAATCGCTTGGCATCAATAGCATCAGATAGCATAATGCAATGTAACACATTGGTATGATAATGATTGTTTTATAAGTTTTTTTTTTTTGTAATTACAGTTTATTTTTTATTCATTTCGTCCAATTCTGTTATTACTTATTTATTTAATTGTTAATTAATATAGGTATTTATTCATTTAGTTACCTTTTTGTTTAAATTATGTTGGTTCACTTTTTTCTCTTCTTTTCTACTGATAATTTCAATTATATAATGTCACATAAATTTTTTCCCTATAAGAAATTCGTTCAAACAACTTCAGTTTTTGCTTAAATTAGAAACAATAAAATAAATGTGTTAATTTTAAATACAAAGCTTGTTATTAATTGACAAAATTTTAAAAATAAAATATGTATTTGATTTTAAAAAAATGAGTTGTATATTTTAGTTTTTTCTTTTCTTTTAATAAAGTTTTTATGAAGTAAAAATATAAGTATGAAGTAAAAATAAATTTAATAAAGTAAAAAAGTTTAAAATTTAATGAAGTAAATAAAATTACAGATGCCACGTATGAAAAATGATTTAAAATCAATACATCTATGTTACATAATAATAATTATTATTAGTATATTATTATGCATTCTTCTTGCAATTTCAAATCTCAGTAAATGGCTTCTGGAAGGTATCAACGAAAAGCAATATATTGAGGAAATGAAAGTTGGAAAAGCAAATTTGGAAAAACGTACTAAAATTTTTGAACAAGCAAATGATGAAAAATAAAAATTTCATAAAAAAAAAAAAGAAATTTTATAGCTTTCGTTTGTTAGTTAAAAAAAAAAATTGTTTTCTGTTTTTTTTTTCTATTCTAAAAGTGTATTATAATAAAAATTTAAAGAATTTTTTATGCTTAGTATATGCAAATTTGTTTTGCAAATAACATGAAAAACAATTCTTTTATGGTTAATTATGGAAAGTTGAAGTAAGAAGAAAGAGGAAAAAAGAATTTAGTTAAAGAATGTCTTCATTTTTTGTTTTTTTTGTTTTGAAATATTTTCACTTTTTAAAATGCAACATTACATTTAAATAAGAAAAACGAATACTGAAATCAATAGAAAGGAAGAAATGATATGATAAATAATTGCATATGGAATAGTAACAGTGTAAAAAATTAATTGAAAAATTTGTTGCCAATTAAAAATCATTATTGCGAATTATGAGTAAATAATTTTGTTTGGAAAGGATAATTTTTAAATATTATGACAATCTGCAAGCATTTCTTCTTAAATTGTTCTAAAGTAAAATTTCAACAACATTTAATAGGATTGAATAATTTGAAAAAAAAATTGAATAGTTCGTTATTCGTTGCTGAAATTATACAAGGGAAAAATGTCAGTGAAATGTTATGAAAGTATTTTTGAATTGTTATCACTGTCAAATGCTTTATTCAATCGTATTATTTAAATTTTCGTTAGAAAAAAACGAAAAAAAAGTTATTCAATAATTTTGAAACCGATCAATAATTCCAGAAATGGTATCCTGAATAAAACTTGACAATAAGTCTAATATTTCACGCAAACCAAATTGAAGCATATTCCTTAGTTGTTTCTTTGGTATTCTCTTCTTGGGTACCTAAACATACATATTTTAAAAAAATTAAATGCATACTCAGCAGTGGTTAAACAAAAAATGTATTCATAGGATTGAATTATGTGTAAATTATATCCCTACTATCGGGAAAATTATTAAATACTTTAATCTAAAAATCTAAAGGAATTATTTTCGCAAGGAATACTATTTTCGAATAGATTTTCTGAAAGAAATCATTAAAAGCAATGTTAACCATCCATATTATCTCAAAATTAATTTATATTATCATGTGACAGATAATACAATAAAACATTTTCCATTTACATAAACATTGGAAGATGTTCTTGGCAGATTACTACAGTTGTCTTTCAGTGATTCAATTCAATTCAATGCGATTTCATATTCGGTTCAATAAAATTATGAATAAACTAATTACTAAAATGTATTACATTATCTCCCGAATCGAAGTCACCAAATGAAGGCCTTTCCTGGAAGAAATGATTTAGAAGATTGTTAACATTCATATTATATCAGAATCACTAGCATTTTTGATAGAGTTCAGATCAGGTGATTCACGTAGTTACAAACCATTTTCTAAACTATAACGGTTATAATTTATAATTACGGTTCTATGAAATATCGTTAAATAGACCAACCTTTGTTGTAGGCTTATTGTCATCGCGCAAAAAACTTCCGTCCGGAATAGATGCAGGAGAGCTGCCCTGAAAAAAATCATTTGAAATTGTTTTAACATTTATTTCACATCAGAATCACTAGTATTTTTTACAGTTAAGAAAAGGTAACACTATCAGGTGATTCACATAGGATATCGTTTTCTAAAATTCCTGGTAACGGTTCTATGAAATTTCAAATCTCGTTAAATCGACCAGCAAAGTGATTATTGGGATACATTACCTCTACCTCTATTATAGGCTTGTTGTCATCGTGTGGAGAACTTCCGTCCGGGACAGATGCAGGAAAGCTGCTCTGAAAAAAATCATTTGGAGCAGTGCTAACATTCATATTATATCAGAATCACTAGTATTTTTGATAGGGTTCAGGTAATATGATCAGGTGAATAATTCATAATATCGGTCTATGAAATTTCGTTAAATTGATCAACCTCTATTGTAGGCTTGTTGTCATCGTGTGGAGAACTTCCGTCCGGAACAAATGCAGGAAAGTTGCTCTGAAAAAAATCATTTGGAGCAGTGCTAACATTCATATTACATCAGAATCACTAGTATTTTTGATAGGGTTCAGGTAATATGATCAGGTGATTCAAATTGCGGTCTATGAAATTTCGTTAAATTGATCAACCTCTATTGTAGGCTTGTTGTCATCGTGTGGAGAACTTCCGTCCGGGACAGATGCAGGAAAGCTGCTCTGAAAAAAATCATTTGGAGCAGTGCTAACATTCATATTACATCAGAATCACTAGTATTTTTGATAGGGTTCAGGTAATATGATCAGGTGAATAATTCATAATATCGGTCTATGAAATTTCGTTAAATTGATCAACCTCTATTGTAGGCTTGTTGTCATCGTGTGGAGAACTTCCGTCCGGAACAGATGCAGGAAAGCTGCTCTGAAAAAAATCATTTGAAGCAGTGCTAACATTCATATTACATCAGAATCACTAGTATTTTTGATAAGGTTCAGGTAATATGATCAGGTGAATAATTCATAATATCGATCTATGAAATTTCGTTAAATTGATCAACCTCTATTGCAGGCTTGTTGTCATCGTGTGGAGAACTTCCGTCCGGAACAGATGCAGGAAAGCTGCTCTGAAAAAAATCATTTGAAGCAGTGCTAACATTCATATTACATCAGAATCACTAGTATTTTTGATAGGGTTCAGGTAACATGATCAGGTGATTCAAATTGCGGTCTATGAAATTTCGTTAAATTGATCAACCTCTATTGTAGGCTCGTTGTCATCGTGTGGAGAACTTCCGTCCAGAACAGATGCAGGAAAGCTGCTCTGAAAAAAATCATTTGGAGCAGTGCTAACATTCATATTACATCAGAATCACTAGTATTTTTGATAGGGTTCAGGTAACATGATCAGGTGATTCAAATTGCGGTCTATGAAATTTCGTTAAATTGATCAACCTCTATTGTAGGCTTGTTGTCATCGTGTGGAGAACTTCCGTCCGGAACAGATGCAGGAAAGCTGCTCTGAAAAAAATCATTTGGAGCAGTGCTAACATTCATATTACATCAGAATCACTAGTATTTTTGATAGGGTTCAGGTAACATGATCAGGTGATTCAAATTGCGGTCTATGAAATTTCGTTAAATTGATCAACCTCTATTGTAGGCTTGTTGTCATCGTGTGGAGAACTTCCGTCCGGAACAGATGCAGGAAAGCTGCTCTGTGGAGCAGTGCTAACATTCATATTACATCAGAATCACTAGTATTTTTGATAGGGTTCAGGTAACATGATCAGGTGATTCAAATTGCGGTCTATGAAATTTCGTTAAATTGATCAACCTCTATTGTAGGCTTGTTGTCATCGTGTGGAGAACTTCCGTCCGGAACAGATGCAGGAAAAAAATCATTTGAAGCAGTGCTAACATTCATATTACATCAGAATCACTAGTATTTTTGATAGGGTTCAGGTAATATGATCAGGTGAATAATTCATAATATCGGTCTATGAAATTTCGTTAAATTGATCAACCTCTATTGCGGGCTTGTTGTCATCGTGTGGAGAACTTCCGTCCGGAACAGATGCAGGAAAGCTGCTCTGAAAAAAATCATTTGAAGCAGTGCTAACATTCATATTACATCAGAATCACTAGTATTTTTGATAGGGTTCAGGTAACATGATCAGGTGATTCAAATTGCGGTCTATGAAATTTCGTTAAATTGATCAACCTCTATTGTAGGCTTGTTGTCATCGTGTGGAGAACTTCCGTCCGGAACAGATGCAGGAAAGCTGCTCTGAAAAAAATCATTTGGAGCACTGTTAACATTCATATTACATCTAGTATTTTCAGTTAGAAACAGGTGACATTATCAGGTGATTCACGTAGGATATCGTTTTCTAAGATTCCTAGTAACGGTTCTATGAAATTTCAAATCTCGTTAAATCGGTCAATAAAGTAATTACTGCGGTACATTGCCTCTACCTCTGTTGCATGTTTATCGTTGTCGTGCGAAGAACTTCCGTCCGGAACAGATGCAGGAGAGCTGCTCTGAAAAAAATTATTTGAAATTGTGTTAACATTCATATTATATCAGAATCACTAGTATTTTTGATAGAGTTTAGGTAACATGATCGGGTGATTCACGTAGGTACAAACCGTTTTCTAAACTATAACGGTTATAATTCATAATTGCGGTCTATGAAATTTCGTTAAATTGATCAACCTCTATTGTAAGCTTGTTGTCATCGTGTGAAGAACTTCCGTCCGGAACAGATGCAGGAAAGCTGCTCTGAAAAAAAATCATTTGAAATTGTTTTAACATTTATTTTACATCAGACTCACTAGTATTTTTTACAATTAAGAAAAGGTAACACTATCAGGTGATTCACGTAGGATATCATTTTCTAAAATTCCTGGTAACGGTTCTATGAAATTTCAAATCTCGTTAAATCGATCAATAAAGTGATTATTGTGATACATTACCTCTACCTCTATTGTAGGCTTATTGTCATCGTGCGAAGAATTTCCGTCCGGAACAGATGCAGGAGAGCTGCTCTGAAAAAAAATCATTTGAAATAATTGTGTTAGCATTCATATTATATCAGAATTACTAGTATTTTCAATAGAGTTCAGGTAACATGATTAGCTGATTACGTAAGGTATCGTTTTTTAAATTACAGCGGTTATAACTCAACATTACGGTTCTGTGAAATTTCAAATCTCATTGAACCGATGAATAAAGTAGTCACTAGGTATATTACCTCAACTGTAGACGTGTTATCATCGTGCGAAGAAGTTCCGTCCGGAACAGATACAGGAGATATCTGAAAGAAATCATTTGAAACAGTATTAATATTACATCTGATTTATTGCATCAGAATTATTTGTATTAAGAAATTGAAGGATAGGTGATATGATTAGAAGATATCGTTTTTCAAATTTTAAAGATTACATAGCATTGCTAAGTGAAATTTCACATCTATTTAAATCTGTTATTAAAGCAATTATTGAAGTGTATTCGTCATTGGAATAAGAGTTAAATTTTGGATGGTGAAAAGCTGAATTTGTTATTACACACACAATAAGTAAGCTTTTCCTTTTGTCGTAAAGTGGAGATAATAGCTAATCCGTGAAATCATATGACGCAATTCTCATCTGTACTATATCAGAATATTTGTAATTTTATTATTTTAAATAAATCTATAGTTTTTATTATATTTTTATAATTGTAATTTCTTTATTAACGCAAAAAGTATGATTTCGTTGGGTGAAATGTAATATTTGTCTGATAGTTAAATTGTTTAAATATAAATGCAAGTAAAAACTTACCGAAATTTGATTATCTGCTAATAGTATCGTGAAGCAAAATTGAAGCATTGCAAAAGTCATCCACCAGTACATCATTTGATATGTCATCTTAAAGCCGAAAGTGATTTTTTTTTCAGTCTTGTCTTATTTGCACAAATTAGATAAAATTAATTTCATCATAATTGCATTAGCAGTTAATAAATGTCTAAATGTAATAAAGGAATGATTTCATAATAATACTTATTTTTTGTCAAATAGGTAGAATGAATGAAAATAAAATGGAGCTTACATTATATTGTAGATAAGCGTGTTAAACCATCCAAAAATATGTTAAAAGAAATTTTATTTATAAATGTATATATTTTATTTATAAATATATACGTATATATGATACAAGAATTAAAAAATTGTGTGCGGAAAAATTCAAAAAGATAAAATTCGATATGATAATTAAATTGGTTTTTTTATGATACTATATTTTATTGAGATTTTGATATATGGGAAAATTTTTCGCACGAAATTTGAAGATGATTTATAATAGCAGCTTTTAATACATATATATTGCATTATTCATTCATTAAATGATTTAATTTCAAATTTGAATTTTTATCAAAAATAATTTCTATGCAAGAAAGGAATAAAAGTAGAACATAGTAATTTGCCATTGTATAATATATATTAATTAATCATATGTTATTATTGAAAAAATAATACTGCCGAAAAAGTGATTGTTCATGTGATATCATATCATTTAAATATCATTTAAATTTTGTCATTTTTTTGTCATATCATTTAAATTTTGATATCTAGTGAATATTTATTATGAAGCTTTATATATGCATTATTACTTTTCTTTTTTATCATATCATTAACTTAGTGATGGTAGTCGTAAAATAGTTCGTTTGTATCACATAATTCATTTTATCAGAATGATAATAGGAAGGATAATTATGCCATACTACAATTTTAATATTTAAAATAATTTTATTTTATGTTTAACTGTAAAAACGGATTGGTATCAGGCATATCGAATAATATAGTGTAAAAAAGTACATTGATAAGATACGATGATTTATTATGTTATTAGTTTTCAGCTTGCCTAAATATAAATATATATTTATTTATTTATTCAATTGTCTATTTAAATTTTAATTTACTCCATGAATTACTCTATTTCGTATTTGTTCATTTGTGTTCTGTGATTATTGCAAAAAGAATTGTTCACTTGCTTCTTTACTGAAAAATTTTCATTATTTTGAATACTTATTTTGATATTTCAGCAACTATTTATTGACTCATTTCTACTCGCTTACTTCACTGTATAACTTATATTATCTATAACCGTAATAATTCAGTATCTCACTGTATAAGTTATGTTCACTTTCTTTTTTTGCTAAAAATTGCAATTACGGACTTTACAAACATTAGAGTACATTTTAATAATAGAATTTCAAAAAAAAATTTATCGTTTTTTTCTCTAAAAACAATTTTTCTAGATGTAGAATTTTGGGTATAACATTTCGTTCTTTTTAGAATTGCAAAAATTCTTAGATTTAAAAATTTTTTAAAACAAAGAAAGTGAATGATAATTTATGGATGATAATTTAAGATTGATATCATGTAATCTATATTATAGTAGCTATCATTATCATTAGTTTTTATTATGCAGTTTTTTGCAGTTTTCATTTTTCAATTTAACAAACGATTTCTGAAATGTGTCAGTGATAAGTGACATTTTTGAAGATATGAAATGTGCAATAACATTTCATAAACAATTGCGGCACACTTAAAAATATGGTTGAGCAAATGATTGACAATAAAAATTTTCATGCAAAAGGCAATTTTATATCTTTAGCAATAATACCTGGCAAACAAAAACAGTTCTTTTATGGTCAATAATTGTTGACATTTGAAATAAAACAAAAAATTGAATTTCATTAAAAGGAAGGTCTTTTTTATTTAAAATATTGATGAAAATAATTTAAATAATTAATTCAGAGATCGGAAGGTCATTTCTTTGATTAATATGAGATGAAATTGATAAGAAAGGAAGAACAGTTTGAGAACAGAGAATTTGATGCTGTTTAAAATTTATTTTATCAAATTTCAAAATTATTCCCAAATTATTCTTTCAACAATGATTTTTTGTTATAAAGAGATAAATTATGAAAAATAAAAAAACTAATTTTCTGACATTTCTTCAATTAGCTAACAGTAACGATTTCTTCGATCAATACAAAATAAAAATAATTGACATAAATCTATAATGAGTGCTATATATTTTTTATTTTTTGATTAGTCACAATTACAAAAATTTTTATTCTTCATTTCTTATTTTAGAATATATTGTTTTTAATGTTTTTAATTTTAATTTTGAAGTGATAATTTCAAATCCTCAAATTCTTGCATCAGATTTTGTAATTTTTTTGTCACAAAACAAAAATTTTATTAGAGAATTTTTTTCGTTTGTTTGTTTTTTGTTTTGTTTTGAAATATATTCTTTTTTTAAAAAAAATACTTAAATCAATAAAAAGGAAGAAATGATATGATAAATAATTGCATATTGAATAGTAACAGTGCGAAAAATTAATCAAAAAATTTATTGTCAATCAACAATTATTTTGTTAAATTTGAAAATAAATTTTGAATTATAAGTAAATAACTTTATTTAGGAAAATTATTTCCAGGATGTTTTTTTGAATAAAAATAGTTTGCTATTATTTTAATGGACTTAGAAAGGATTTTTCAAATAAAAAATAATTTGCTATTATTTTAAAGTAAAATTTGAACAATATGAAGTGAAAATTATGTAAAGGAAAATGTTAAATCATCAAATTGTTGTTACTCTCAAATGCTTTATTCAATTGCATCATTTAAAAAGTCGATAGAGAAAATTAAAAAAGTCGAATCAATCATTATTTTCGAAGGTTATCGATAATCCCAGAAATAGCACTTCCAACAACGCTTGCCAATAAACCAAATTTTCCTCGTGGACGAAATCGAAACTTAGATCGGTTTCCAAGTCTAACTCGTTGTTTCGTTGGTAGACTTTTTCTGGGTACCTAAAACAAACATATAAATTTTAATGAAAATAAATGTAAGTGGAAAATGATTTATTGTAGCTAGCTAAAGTATTCTTTGAAATTTGAAGTAAATAAAAAGTGCTCTGTTGTGGTCAAAAAAATATTCATAAGATTGAATTATATGATTTGTCATCTAAAAAGAATTCTCATGTAATCTTAAATGTCATACTACAAAAAAATTATCAAATACTTTAATCTAAAAAACTAAAATAATTGTTTTTGCAAAGAATATTGAATAAATTATTTGAGAGAAATCATTTAAAGCAATATTAACCATTCATATTATGTCAAAATTAATTTATATTATTATGAGACACAAGAAAGCATTTTTCGTTTACTTAATCAATACAAGATGTTCTTTTCCTAAATTATTATAGTTATATGTCAATGATTCAATGATACAATTCAATGCAATTTGAATAAAATATAATCACTGAAATGTATTACTTTAGCTGCAGAACCGATTTTAGATGATGGTTTTTGTTCCAAAACAAATGACGGTGAATTCTTCTGAAAAAAAAAAAATCATTTGGAATAACGTTATTAAATATTCGTATTACATCAAAATTACTTGTATTACTTATAACGGTTGTCTTTTCAATTCCACGGTTCCATGAATTGAATCTGTCATTATGGATAGTCTAATCACTGAGATATATTACCTTAAATGTAGGTTCGTGCAAAGAACTTCTGTCCCGAACAGATGCTGGAAAGTTGTTCTGAAAAAAAAAAAAAAAAATCATTTGAAGCAATGTTAATCTTCGTATTACATTAGAACTGCTTGCACTCTCAACGGTTTGACCGTTGTAAACTATTTATGATGATAGATTTATTCATGCTTGTTGCAAATGAGTTGGTGGTTGAATTAAATTGCAAACGACACAATAGAATGTCAAATTAGAGTTGCCTACCAGGTGTTACAATTAATATGTTATCTTTACAATTTACAAGATAGGGACTTTTCAAATGACTGTCACCAAATTTCTTGATCTAAGGTTAGAGTGAATAGTTGATGTGTTCAAGGTTAAGAGATTATTTCAAAGAGAATTTTTGTACTCTTTTTTGGGACTTATCTATTGCTGGCAGTTAGTAGTGAATTCATTGCTGAGTGAACTTTTCTAAGAAGACAACTTTTCATTCTAAAAAACTTAACTTATTCAACAGTAATAGCTTCTACTTATTGGAGAATGGTAATATTGATTACGCTTACTGCAATAGATATTTTGGATAAGGTGAGAGGAAGGCTAACGGAACCATTCAACGCGTTACAGGTAATAGCAGTATGATTTAGATGAGTGGACAATGCACAGTTCTGTAGGCACTAAATCTGGTATTTTTATAAGGTATTATTATTTCATTCTTTTTTTAATAGAGTATCCTAAATGTTTTAGATGCATTTTCTGTTAAAAATCTTTTTGTCGATCTTGACGATTAAGAAAATGATATTTCCTGAATATGCAAAGTGCTGGGTTAATTTAAGCTTAGATAAATCTACAAGATGAAATGAGATTGACAGTAATCTAGTCATGATGGTCGTTAGTACAGAACCTTTGTTTTCAAATTGATGTCCAGTCTGAAAATTTCTATAATTTTTGCGAAGCAGGTAGTTATACGTTACAAGGGCGCTTTTTTATGGGTAACATGGGCGGAAGAGTTGCTCTTGGACAAAATGGCGTAGAAGGGTTCCCGTCGGTACGATATCGAATGTAAATACCGTTCCCTTTATCGAAGTATACTGTAAGTCTTTGAAGCATTTTGAAGAATGATATGAAGGGGCTGCTGCGAGCACGCAATCTTGTTTCGCATCACCGATTATCCGGATATGATCACTTAGAAACTTGAAAGAGGTATCCTAATCATTCAAAGATTAGCCGTAAACCCTCTCACACTGCTTACGTTGTGAAATGGTTTGGTTAGGTCAACAAAGGTCATAGTTACAAATCTTTCGTTTTGTGGTGTCACATTATTTCCAGTTTTCTGAAAACACATGTCATGTTTGTGATGTTTTTATTAGTTACAAAAACCATATTAGCTCTTAGGTAGAAGTATTGTGGACAATAATGGTCATTAGTGTCGCAAAATTTTACAGTTGTAGAAAGCATGGAGTAAACATAGTTTAATATTTTGCGTAAACAATTGGACTTCTCTCCTTTCCTGCTACAGAGATTGTATCCCAGCGAATAATTCCACAATAATCTCGTGGAATTTACCTTGAAATGCTTGGCTTCCACGCTTCCAGATTTTGGATGATATTCTATCAAGCCCAGAGACTTTGCTAGATTTTATCAGTTATAGTCCTGGGAGTTAAGTCCAGTTTAATTTTCGTTGGTTGTTGAATAATATTTTGTTCCTTTACCTGAACAGTGAACACTGAAGAGAAATTGAAATTGTTCAGACTATTAGTAGAGAAAGAAGGACTTTGTGTGAGAAGAGAATAGCCATTTGAGCTGATAAGAGAGCTGTGATAAATTGATCTGTGCAAAACTTTGTAGAGTCCTTTAGGATCGCTCGAGTCTGTTTCTAATTGAATCTTTTATGCTAGATTGATCCATCACTTTTTTTTTTTTGAATGTGCCGAAGTTTCTGTTGGAACTTACTGCGTGCAAGATGAAAAACTGTTTCTCGTCCAAGACAGAATAGCTTAGTGTACATCCTTGACAAGCATTTATCTTCTTACATCGATCTTCCTGAATTTGTAGATGAGAATTCTAAGCATTCCAGGGAGCTATTTTTTGATGAAATGTCGAAATGTGGTTTAAATGATAGATCTGGAAGTTATCCCTTTTTGTAGTAATTTCAAAATCGTTGACTTCGAATTTCTTCCTTGGAATGTCATCAAAATCAGCTTAATGAGCTGGTATTTGTTCTAGAAAAGATCCAATATGTTGCTTATTGTGTACTTTTGAAAAGATAATTTGATCGGAATGACCTCTCAGCAAGTCAGCATGAAATCGTTTTCGAATTTATTTGATCGGAAAAGTATGTAGCTGGTACATATTTTTTGAGTCTACCTTCTTCCTGAATTTCGTAGTAAAGTATGGTGTTAATTCATGATAGTTCGAAGGTAATTGTGATAGATTGACATTTGACTATTCGAAGTATGAATCAGTCTGAGCATAGCTTTGGCTTTTGTTTTTTTGTCTTGGTTCGAACATAATAGAAAATTCCCATTTAACTTTGATCGGATAACCGGATAGAACATGAAGATGAGCTTTGTTAAGTCAGATCAATTTTCCTAAACCAATCTCTGATAGATCTAGTAAACAATGATCTGCTCGATCATTCAGGATGCTACTGAAACAAAAATTTCTGAACCATTCTCGAATAACCAAACTCCTGAATGCATCCGGAATCTTTCGTGCACGGTTAACCTTATAGCTTCTCTTCTAGAACACTCTGTCGTAACATTTTGTCTTTCACTTATTGCTGAAAATTTCTGTGGAACTGTATTTTTCTTTGAGCCTACGCAAAATCTTTTTAAATGAAGGAAAGGTGTCATCCTTTGCACCTGAAGTGCATCTATCAGGAAAGTAGTCTCATACTTTGCACCTGAAGTGCATCTATCAGGAAAGTAGTCTCATACTTTGCACCTCAAGTGCATCTATCAGGAAAGTAGTCTCATACTTTGCACCTGAAGTGCATCTATCAGGAAAGTAGTCTCATCCTTTGCACCTAAAGTGCATCTATCAGTAAAGTAGTCTCATCCTTTGCACCTGAAGTGCATCTATCAGGAAAGTAGTCTCATACTTTGCACCTGAAGTGCATCTATCAGGAAAGTAGTCTCATCCTTTGCACCTGAAGTGCATCTATCAGTAAAGTAGTCTCATCCTTTGCACCTGAAGTGCATCTATCAGGAAAGTAGTCTCATACTTTGTACCTGAAGTGCATCTATCACAAAAATGGTCTCATTCTTTGCACCTGAAGTATAACTATCAAAGAAAAGGTCTTACACTTTGCACCTGAAATTATTCTTTCATACCTAACAGACCTGGATGATGATAGCGAAATTTCCAGGTCGTAGATCTGTTTGATCTAAAGCTAATAACATAAAAGTAGTCTGACTTATGATCTTACCGGATACTATTACCAGCGTAGTGCGTAACGTAACTTCAAAAAGCTTTTCCGCTAGGTATGATTTCCTCATTCATTATGCTTACAGTTCAAAGGTACAGTTTTACATAATTTTATTACCCATAGAGTAGGCATTAAATGTATATTACCTTGACTGGAAGATTGACTTTCTCATACGAAAGCAATCTTTCTGGATTGGATAGAGCGATAGCATTAGAATGTATTGCTTTGGCTACAAGACCGTCTTTTTCATACCGAAGTAATTTTTCTCTAGTGGATGAGGTGACACTCTGAAACATTCATATTATGAGACACTGTTAACGTCCGTGTTATGTTAAGATTACACGTAGTATTAAGAGATTAAAGAACAGGCAACATGATTAAGCATCCATGTAAAATATCGTTTTCTAAATTATAATGGTTGTATTTCAAATTATGGTTCTATGAAATTTCAAACCTCGTTGAAAATTCAAATATCATTAAAGTAGGTATTGGAATGAATTACCTTAACTGTAGACTTGTTATCATCGTGCGGAGAAGTTCCGTCCGGAATAGATACAGGAGAACTACTCTGCAAGAAATCATTTGAAACAGTATTAATATTACATCTGATTTATTGCATCAGAATTATTTGTATTAAGAAATTGAAGGATAGGTGATATGATTAGAAGATATCGTTTTTCAAATTTTAAAGATTACATAGCATTGCTAAGTGAAATTTCACATCTATTTAAATCTGTTATTAAAGCAATTATTGAAGTGTATTCGTCATTGGAATAAGAGTTAAATTTTGGATGGTGAAAAGCTGAATTTGTTATTACACACACAATAAGTAAGCTTTTCCTTTTGTCGTAAAGTGGAGATAATAGCTAATCCGTGAAATCATATGACGCAATTCTCATCTGTACTATATCAGAATATTTGTAATTTTATTGTTTTTAATAAATTTATATTTTTTGTTATATTTTTATAATAGTAATTTCTTTATTAACGCAAAAAGTATGATTTCATTGGGTGAAATGTAATATTTGTCTGATAGTTAAATTTAAATTAAAATAAACCGAAATACGATTATCTGCTAATAGTATCGTGAAGCAAAATTGAAGTATTACAAAAGTCATCCACCAATATAACATTTGATATGTCATTTTAAAGCTGAAAATAAAATTTTTTTATTTGTAAAAAGTTACAACTGAAAACAATAATTCCATAAGTAATTAATAAAAGTGTAAATATCATAAAAAAAGTAAATAATACTTAACTTTGAGTAGAATGAATGAAAATAAAATGGAACTTACATTATATAATAAATAACCTTTTCAAATCATTCACTAAATATGACAAAATAAATTTTATCTATATATATATATATACATATATTTTATATATGGTATAAAAATTAAAAAATTGTGTGCGGAAAATTTCAAAAAAATAAAAACTCGATATGATAATTGAATCGGTTTTTATGAGATTATATTTTATTTAGATTTTGATATATAGAAAAGTTTGAAGATGATTTATAATAGCAGCTTTTAATACATATATATTGCATTATTTATTCATTAAATGATTTAATTTCAAATTTGAATTTTTATCAAAAATAATTTCTATGCAAGAAAGGAATAAAAGTAGAACATAGTAATTTGCCATTGTATAATATATATTAATTAATCATATGTTATTATTGAAAAAATAATACTGCCGAAAAAGTGATTGTTCATGTGATATCATATCATTTAAATATCATTTAAATTTTGTCATTTTTTTGTCATATCATTTAAATTTTGATATCTAGTGAATATTTATTATGAAGCTTTATATATGCATTATTACTTTTCTTTTTTATCATATCATTAACTTAGTGATGGTAGTCGTAAAATAGTTCGTTTGTATCACATAATTCATTTTATCAGAATGATAATAGGAAGGATAATTATGCCATACTACAATTTTAATATTTAAAATAATTTTATTTTATGTTTAACTGTAAAAACGGATTGGTATCAGGCATATCGAATAATATAGTGTAAAAAAGTACATTGATAAGATACGATGATTTATTATGTTATTAGTTTTCAGCTTGCCTAAATATAAATATATATTTATTTATTTATTCAATTGTCTATTTAAATTTTAATTTACTCCATGAATTACTCTATTTCGTATTTGTTCATTTGTGTTCTGTGATTATTGCAAAAAGAATTGTTCACTTGCTTCTTTACTGAAAAATTTTCATTATTTTGAATACTTATTTTGATATTTCAGCAACTATTTATTGACTCATTTCTACTCGCTTACTTCACTGTATAACTTATATTATCTATAACCGTAATAATTCAGTATCTCACTGTATAAGTTATGTTCACTTTCTTTTTTTGCTAAAAATTGCAATTACGGACTTTACAAACATTAGAGTACATTTTAATAATAGAATTTCAAAAAAAAATTTATCGTTTTTTTCTCTAAAAACAATTTTTCTAGATGTAGAATTTTGGGTATAACATTTCGTTCTTTTTAGAATTGCAAAAATTCTTAGATTTAAAAATTTTTTAAAACAAAGAAAGTGAATGATAATTTATGGATGATAATTTAAGATTGATATCATGTAATCTATATTATAGTAGCTATCATTATCATTAGTTTTTATTATGCAGTTTTTTGCAGTTTTCATTTTTCAATTTAACAAACGATTTCTGAAATGTGTCAGTGATAAGTGACATTTTTGAAGATATGAAATGTGCAATAACATTTCATAAACAATTGCGGCACACTTAAAAATATGGTTAAGCAAATGATTGACAATAAAAATTTTCATGCAAAAGGCAATTTTATATCTTTAGCAATAATACCTGAAAAAAAGTGTATTATAATAAAAGTTCTAAAATTATTTTTTGTATTAAATATTCAAATTTTTTGCAAATAATACAAAAACAGTTCTTTTTGCAGACAATCGATACTGATATTTGAAGTAAAAGTGAAAGAAAAAAATTGAATTTCATTAAACAAAAATTTTTTTTTGTTCAAAATATTTTCATTGTTAAAAGATTACACAATAATTAATTCAGAAGATGAAAAAATGATTACTGAAATTGATAAGTAAGGTAGAGTGCTGTAATTAACTTCAAGAATTTGGTGATATTTAAAAGTTATTTTATCATATTTCAGAGTTATTTTCAAATTACCATTTCAGTTATAAATTTTTCATAGAAACATAAATTATGTAAAATTAGAAATTAATTTGTTGATATTTTCTTAAATTAGATTAAAAATTAATTGCTAATTTCCTTTATTAGTCGAAAATAAAAGTACGGGATGCAATTCCACAAAGAGTGCTGCAAAATTTTTAATTTCTTACTACTTGTAATTAAAAGAATTTCCATTCTCTATTTCTTTTTTTAAATTATATAATTTTTATTAATTTTGAATCCCTAAATTATTGTATCAGATTTTTGGAATATATGAATATGCTAAAGTTATTTAAATTTTTACATATTCAATTTAATTTGCTCAAAAATATTTTGTTAAATCACATACAGAGTATACAGCAGCTGATATTTAATTAAAATTTGATGAATTGCAATAAATTTATAGAAAGTATGAAAGAAATTAGTTTTTTTTCTCATTAATTAATTCTCCAATATGAGTGTTTTACCGGTTTTATATATATTTCAAGTAGAGAAATTTAAATTTCAAATTAAATTATTATCACTTTGACAAGTTGAAGCAATAAAACAATAAAAAATTTTTAATATATCCATTTTGAGATATATTTAAATTATGCGTTTAATCAGATTACCTTTAAAGAGATCCACTCTTTTTTAATTTATTGCTACCTCCAAAGTAAAACAATTATATGTATATGATAGCATATCTAAAAAAAAAAAAAAATATTTTGGAATATTTGAGATTGATGATTGCTTATTTTAATTATAGAAATTGAAATGAATTATTGTATGTCTGATTAAACTGAATTAAAATAAGCAAAATGAACGATCGTTTATGTAAAAGATTCAAATAAATGATAAACATGAATGTATTTATAGACACATTTCTTTTTCGATCCATTGATCTACAATATAATTTCATATAAATCTTAAATACAAATTCATAAATTTGTAATACCTGATTTTTTGCATATGTTTTATTAATTTAATTAAAGTTTTTTAATCATTTTTTATTTTAGATTCTCATAAGAAACGCAATGTTGAATACTGCTAAAGATTTTTATATTATTTTATTATTATTATCACTGTTATTTTTATTAATTATTATTATAATTTTGATCACTTACTTTTATTATTATATTTCAAATTAGGCTCATATCATTTGTTACTTTCTAATTATGTTTTTTTCATCATTCATATTTATTTTCATTGTCAGCCAAAAAAAAATATATCATTCTCAGTTTCATTTATTAAAAAAATATTAACAAGTATTAAATTACAAAAACAACGAATAGGTTTACTTATCAAACGATTACTTATCAAAGCAAATCAAAAGAATGGAACAAAACTGATTAGTGATAATATTACTCATCAACAGATAATACTTAATCATATAAATACTGTATCATACATTTCAAATCCATCAAAAAAGTTTAACTTAAAAATTTATCATTCAATTTGTCCCAATGTTTTTCCTCATTTTATGATCCATTCATTTTGCTAGACAAGGATATTTAAATAATTGAATTGATAAAATTGTTTGATTAATAAGTAACCTTCAAATATTCTTCTCCCTCATTTCTTTTTCTCACTTATTTCTCTCTCTCTCCCTCTCTTTCTTCTGTCAGATTTATTATCCATCTGATTACATTCCCTTTTATTTTTTCTGCTCATTTCGATTGATGTGTCCAAGTGGTAAACAATTTTTTGGCGGTTGCATCATTTGGCATATGCGTAAACAATGTATATTTTTTAATAGCTGCAAAAAAAAAAAAGGAAAAAGAAAAAAGAGAAAAAAAGAAATGTAAATTGACAAAAAACAAAAAAGAAATTTCAGAAATAAAAGTTAGTAAATTTTTAAAATAGCATTTAATAATATAATAATATTGAAAAACCATAGGTAATATTTATAAAACATATAATGGTTATCATTTATTAAAATAATTATTACCATTTATCATTTGTAAAGTATCACTTGATAATATAATAATATAAAAACCATAGGTAATATTTTATAACATATATAGTGATTATCATTTATTAAAATGATAATTATCATTTATCATTTGCAAAATATCATTTGAAAATATAGTATTATTAAAAAGCAAAGGTAATATTTATTTAACATGTATAATGATGATAATTTATCAAAATGATAATCATAAAAGCATTATCAACATTTATCACAAAAGTTTTATGACATTTACTACAATAATTGATTTGTTTATTGCAAAAGTATGCTAAAAATGAGAATAATAAATGAAACTTTACATATTAAATTAATTTATTTAACTTTTTTCTATTAATTTATTTGTTACTTAAATTTTGTAATAAATGCGTAAAATCACAAAAACAAAAAATAAAAAAAGAAAGTGCAAAGGAAATTATTTGCAGAATGAAAATTACTGCAATAATTGAAAAATAAATAAATAAATAATTTGAAAAATAAAAAATAAAATTATTGATAATATTAATAAATCAAAAATTTATGATTGAAAGGAATCAAATTAAAATTTTAATTGGTTATTTTATTATAAGCAGCGATTTAGTCAGAAAAAATAGGGTTTATAAAGAAAAATGAACAAAAAAACACAAAAAAAAATTGCGCATATCGATGTTACATGAAAATGCAAATAATTCCGAAAGTAAAGTAACAAATTTAATTTAATCAAAACTTTTCTTTTAATTTCAACAAATTTTTTTTAGCATTAATGAATGTTTCTCATTCGTTGTTTAACTGAAAATATTATTAAACGATACATATTTTTGAATATTTTTTAAAAAAAACCACAATTTTCAATATCGCTTAGTTCTTTTTTTAATTGAATATAAATTAGCATAAAAGTTAGAAATGATTAAATTAATTTATATAGCTTGCAGATCTTTTTTTCTGAAAAAAAATGTTTTACTTTAAAATATCATAAAAGTAGCTAAAAGATCAAATAAGTTTTAATTTATTTTTTTGTTTACTTTTTTCCTTTATT